ATCCAATGCACTATTTTATGTATCTTAGTGTAGTCTATTTGTGTGCCAAGTAATATTGAAATCAAATCAAAACTGTAGGAGGAGTAACGTTTTAAAGAAATTTCAAAGAAAATTCTATTTTTAGTAACCATGGCAACACCGTTCATCAAAATAAAAAACAAATTCACTATTTTATGTATCTTAGTGTAGTCTACTTGTGTATTATGTAATATTGAAATCAGACCAAAACTGTAGAAGGAGTAGCATTTTAAAGGAATTTCAAAGAAAATTCTATTTTTAATAACCATGGCAACACCGTTAATCGAAATCAAAAAACCGATGCACTATTTTATGTATCTTAGTGTAGTCTACTTGTGTGCCAAGTAATACTGAAATCAGACCAAAACTGTAGGAGGAGTAGCGTTTTAAAGGAATTTCAAAGAAAATTTTATTTTTAGTAACCATGGCAACACCGTTCATCGAAATCAAAAACCGATGCACTATTTTATGTATCTTAGTGAAGTCTACTTGTGTGCCAAGTTCTATTGAAATCAGACCAAAACTGTAGGAGGAGTAGCGTTTTGAAAAATTGTTTACAGACAGACGGACAGACAGACGGACGGACGACGGACACCTTACTATCGCATAAGCTCTTCTGGTCTCTGACCAGTAGAGCTAAAAATGATGAAAATTTTTCAAACAATGAACAAGATACTGAACACCCCATTGGCAAACACTTGTCAATATAATATGAATTATTAAACTTAAACCTAGCAGACAAAATTCCTGAGGATTGATTGGTAAAAGCCTAAATGCACTAGAAATGTCCATCTTTGCCATAAGGGCCCCTTTTCCTTTGGTTTGATTTATGTTAATTGCATCATCAAACGAAGCATAGCTGACAGTACAATCGTGCTTATCTATGTAACCGTTAACACTATCACCATAAGGATGTGAAAGATTGGTTATCATACGCCATCCACCTTGTTTTTAGCTCACCTGAGCCGAAGGCTCAAGTGAGCTTTTCTGATCACATTTTGTCCGTCCGTCTGTCCGTCCGTAAACTTTTTACATTTTCGACTTCTTCTCAAGAACCAATGGGCCAATTTTAACCAAACTTGGTACAAAGCATCCTTAGGTGAAGGGGAGTTAAAACTGTTAAAATGAAGGGCCAAGTCCCCTTACAAGGGGAGATAATGAAGAAAAGACAAAAATAGGGTGGGGTCATTAAAAAATCTTCTTCTCAAGAACCACTGGGCCTGGAAAGCTGAAACTTATGTGGAAGCATCCTTGGGTATTGTAGATATTGAATTGTTAAAATCATGACCCCCGGGGGTAGGGCGGGGCCACAATAGGGAATACAAGTTTTACATAGTAATATATATATGGTGTACACTCTACACCAACTTTTGTGTAAAGTGTACACATCTAAAGGTGGTATCAAGTAACAAAATAAAGAGAAGAATTCTTGTTCTTTCCTTTTTTTCTTCTTTCCCCCACGTTTGTACCCTTCTCTTATTTTAATTGGTTCGTATAATTTTGTCTGTTTCAAGACACGCACGTGTCTCTTAGATTCACACTAAGCTTATGCGGCAAACTTGAAGATTCTGTAGGAAACTCCGAAAGGGCAACATTTAAGTTTTATAAATGATAAGATTTAATCAATATAATATCCTTTATGCATAATTGAAAGGAAAGAAATAAATTGTCTTTTCGTTGTTTGTAGGTCTTTGTGCATTCCAATACGTAATTCGGGGGATGATGATGAAACAATAATATTATTTTATTTCATAAAAGTATTGGTGATTTGCTTAATTACAAATGCTATTTTGCCACAATAGAAATTACTGCGGGATCCCTTATGAAGGCAGGGCCGTGATTTAGATTTTTAATACATCAACCGCCGAAACACATTGCTGTAAAAACAATACTGTCAATAAGAAATAACTTATTCAAAACGATGTCAAATCAAAGAGAAATAAGAAAAATCATTGTGTCGAGTCCTATGAATTTAAAATTGCGTGGCTGATGGGTGTTGGCTATATGCACTTGCAGGTACCAATGTGGGGGAAGAAAAAAAGGGAAAGAACAAGAATTTTTCTCTTTATTTTGTTACTTGATACCACCTTTAGATGTAGAGTGTACATGAAACGTTCCATGTACACTTTACACAAAAATTGTTGTAGAGTGTACATGGAAATTTGCAATGACGCTGTACACTTTGTACACTTTTTGTTTCAAGTGCAAGTTGTCATTGGGTTTCGTAGAAAATGCTGTGCACGTTACACACATAACATAAGTGTAAATTGACGGCCGCTATCGGCCATCGTACATAACTTATTGTGTAGGTCGAATTGCTCGCTGTGGGAATCTTGGGCGGAACTGCTGTTGTGTGGGCCTAGACTGGGGGAATTGTTTGACAATGTTATTCTGGGAAGATCTGCAATGTAAAGAAGGATGTGATCCATTACATTTCACACAAATATGCAAAAACTTACAATTGTGTTTTTCGCAAACACCCTGAAAATTGTAAAAGTAACATTTAAATTGTTTGGGGGATTCTGACTATAGTTTTGTACAGTGGGCTGCATATAAAACAACCATAGTTCAGCATCAACCGAACCCCAGTTAAGATTTGAATCAAATGATTTTTTCTGCCTAAACTGGATGTCATAATCCCTCCAACCATAAGACGTAGGTGAACGCCCTGCACCTTTTCTAATTGTTGCCATATAACGAAATAAATTTATAGCTTGTGCAGAGTGCTTGGCGCAGTAAATTGAGGCAAAAATTAAAAAGGCATCAGTCCATTGTGAAATAGACATAATTTTTTCATCTTTGTACTTAGGTTTAACCTGAATTAAACCATCAAGATAAACAATATGATGCTGTATATCTGAAACTGGATCTTTGATCAACAGTTTGCTCAGAGCGACATACTCGTTATTCCAATTTTTTTCTTTCAATGCTTGAGAGACATGAGCTCCAAGCATTGATGCTACACTCTGGAAAGGTGTAGGCCTATCTATTTCAACTATGCAATTTATACCTGCTGTAGTGCTAGTTGTTGGCACAGGCAACTATGGCTCCACTGTCTGTTTGGTGGGTATAGTCTGCACAGCAGGAGTTAGGATGTCTGCAGTCTCGTAGACAGGCTGCAGGGGTACTGATTGAACAAGCGATTCTTGGCTGACCATGTAAGTTCTTGTTGCCACTGACATAGCTGCTTGGGAATAATGACTGGTGACTGATGTCGGTATGATGGGGTCAATGGACGTCGACACTACTGTGGATGTTTGGGTGGACACCGTGGAGGCTACAATACTATGCGCCGCAGATGTCCTGGATACTGGGCGGGCATATGGGCTTTTGGCCTTCGATGCCCTGGTTTTATTGGCTCTCAACATGGCTCATGAAACAAAAGAAATGTAATTTTAATTCCATTTAATTTTTGTTTTTTTTTAATTGTAATATTCCTATTATTTATTTAAATATAATGCAAGCACAAATTACAATTCATAGCAACTAAACTAATCTCTGTCAGTTTGATTGTTTATTACCAAAATTTACTGACATACACATTACAATATTACAATTTATTGCAACTAAACTAAACTTTTCCCTGTCAAGTTTTTCTACTCTGACTCATTTTTTTTTACAACATGGCTGACCTATGAGCAAGGTCGAGAACATTTTCCAAAAATTTAATCTGATAAACCGTGACTAAAAACCCTAAATTTTTAAATAAATCAATTCAAGTAATTGATCCTAATTAATAACTCATTAATTAAACAAACTTACTTTGACTTTCTCTTCGTGATGCCTTAGATGCAAGTAATTTTCTTCAGTTAAAATTTTTGGTACCAGCAGCTTTGTTGCTCAACAGGAAAAGGAAGTTTACCTTGCGCATGCCCAGTTGTATAAATGTGACAAGTAAGAGTTGTCTATCTTTCTATAATTATGTGCTCAAAATAACCTAGTTAATCCAGAGGAGATAAACTTTATTAAAAGCATTTTAGAAGGGGACCTGTCTTGTTTTCAATACTTAATGATTGAAAATTAAATTGTAAAGAATAAATTAAATGTCTACCCAAATTGGAACATAATTCGGTCTTTAATACTGATATAATTTGGGTTAGAGCAGTTTACGGGTTTTTTTAATAAGCCGCTGTGCTTCGCGGTTTATAAAGCGCAAACTGTCCCAAAACCAGATTATACAGTATAACTTGAGTATCATTACCTTTATTATATCCTTAAATAAAGTGCTCAAATACGTTATTTTGCATTTACACGTACTTTTCCCGGATAATTAATTTAGAAAATGTGTCATTTACCGTGAAATCCTTTAAGGTTCATCTTTATCGATACTCTAATAAGAGAGATAACTCTTAATGACATAAACGTTAACTTTATATTCCTGTATAAATTTGCCAAATTGAAGTCCTTTCTGGCCAATTTTCCCAGCAAGCTACGCAATACTTGTTTATATTTTACTTAACAAATACATTTCTTTAGAAAAAAAACAAGGGTTAAAGAAATATTTAATATGAGTGAGCAGAGGGTATATAAACCTTAAAACCTGGTATAAATACCCGGGTAGAAGAATTCGCAATGTGCATACATGTGTATGCCTCCTTACGTCGGAATGCGTGCGCACCGTGTAAATTTTTTAAAGCAATACATCAAAACTCAGGGTAATTAACTTTTCTTGTGTGAATATTAGGATTTGATATACCTCAGTAGCAGAACTCCGCTAGCATAATGAGGTGAGATCTCTTAACTTAAGATTTCAGTTAATTAGAACACGTAATGATTTATTTTATACCTTGTCTATAACATATATAAAAGTCGACAGCAACATATCAATATCTTTTATCAAACATTATCAAAAATCAAATGAACTGTTTAAGTCGATTCCTTCCTCTATAAACATTTCCCGCATGCATGTCACAGTTTTTAGCTATACCAAATTCTTTTCCAAATAAATTTAGTATCACATGTTAGTTAAAACTTTCTTTTACAGAGAAAGCACTGCTTATAGATGAGAATATCAAACATGTCCCGGTTTGTTCTTGTCCGTCTATTTACGGTTCTAATGTCTGTAAGTATGATACAATTCTCTTTCAATCTGGTCTATAATTGAAGATTTTGTTTTCAATTTAGTAGATGTTTGCTTTAATATCATAAATCCTTGACCGATATTGCTCTACTTTACAACTTCCTTCTTTATAAATCTTAGATAAAGATTACCTTTATCTTTAAATGTGATTTTTAAAAGTTTATCACTTTGACCCGCTGTGGCGCTGTCATAAAATTGTGCATTAGTGTTTATGAATTGCAGGGAAAAAAAAATGAAAATGAACGAATTTTAGTCTACTTTATTGTGTGAAAAAATTTAAACAGAAATGGCATTTTGATCTAGGATAATAATGTACCCCGGTATTTCAATATCCAAATTTATGTTAATTTTTACCTACATATGAGAGGAGAAATCTTTCAAAGTTTATTCGCCTCAAATAATAATAATGAGTATAGACTGTTTACAGTCATATACTTCAAAGAGTACCTTAAAAAATCTTAATTGATATTCTTTTTACCCTAATTGGCTACCTACAGGACTTGATGATTGTCCAGTCTCATACAAAATGGACAACGATGGAGCATAACTATACAGGAACCTGTGCCACCAGCTACATCCCAGGTAAAGAAAAAAATTGTTTAGCGTTCCTATAATTTATATGCAAATGATTAAACATGTAGGAGATATAATTTAAAGAGGAACAATAGTATTTGGTATGCAATTTTAAAAAAAAGTATAGAAATCAAAATTACATTTAGCGTCAAATTCTATATATTTTAGTGTACAGTACTTTGAAGACAAATCAAATGCATGTTTGATTCAACTCATTTCATAGGAAATTCCGTAACACATGCCATGGCGAATTTCTCCAAATGCTCTAGTGGTGATCTTTCAAGTGTTTTTTCAGATGTGTGTATATCTAATGAGACCAACGAACAATTAATTTCTTGTCTGGAGAGGAAATACATGGAAGTTTCAAAAGATTCTTCTGTACAAGGGCAAGGGCTTTCCTGTGAATATCCCCCATGTAAATATGATGTTACAAAAACAATTCAAAAGTCCATCTTTTATTTCATTTTTACAAAACCCCATTTTGCTAATGAGGAAAACAAAATGAACAAAAGACGTTTTCTTTTATAGATGCTGCTTCGACAGACCTCTTTTCAGCTTTAGGGTACTACAAGAAAGACCACCGTGATGTCAACGAGGAATACGGTCACAATTATTTTCAGACATGTATTAGCCCCGCAATTCCTGCGGGAATTGGTAGTCTTTCATTAGGGTACATTTACAAAAAATAGATTTAAAAAAAAACTTATTTAAAAAAAAAAGGAAGGAATCTCCATAAGAAGTTAAAAGCATTGACAGATTTATAATTTTTATTGAAATAAGGCAAGAAAACTATAATGTTCTTTAAATATTATGCATTAACTTGTTCGCAAATTGTCAATTAAACTTTAATTTTTATGTGTAGCAGTTTGCACTCTGTACATGCTCAAGCTGAAACAACTAGCAATTCGTCTGTGACAGGACTAATTTTTGCCATAGGCCGTCTCGGAGCAAATTAGTAAGAGAACAGGAAAAATTATCCAAAATTCATTCAATTCAGTTATTCTATGTGTAGTTTTTTAAAGGCACCTGAGTCACTTAGATAACCTATAATTGTTATCCTTTTTTTTTTGTCTGTCGTCGTTCGAAAACGTTTAAACATTTTCAGTTTCTTCTCATAAACCTTTACTTTTGATAATGAATCACTGTGAATAATACTTTTGAAAGGTTAATAGAATTAGAAAATTATGCCAAAGGTTTTACTGTATGATACATGTATAAAACATGTTTTTTTTTCATATCAAATAAGTACGAAAGCCCATTGAGCTCATTTTGGTACGTTAAAAAAATAAATTTTTCGCGTTATAACGCGAAACTTTCGGGAATAAACGTGTAACTTTCGCGTTATAACGCGAAACTTTCGCGAATTAACGTGTAATTTCGCGATATAACGCGAAACATTCGCGTTATTTCGCGAAATAATATGCATATATAATAATGTTACTCAGGAACCTTGATCTTGACTGACAGATAAGAACATGAAAACAGACGGGAACTCCCAGCAACTCTCAGTGGCCTAATTTCATTGAAAATGATGCAAATAATATATTTCTAGAGTATAAAGAAATTGTAAACCTTTATGATGTTCAAAAGTCTACGTCTCTGAAACCAGCCTTATTAATCTATACAAATATATTTCACTTCAAATCCTATTTTTGCAAAATTTTTGCTAGAATTTTAAAAACTACGCGGTGAAACGTATTCATTTTATTCATTGAAACGTAACCCAAGTAGTTATTTTCAAATTATTTGACAAAAGTTTGTTTGTATCATCTGTCCTTACGGTATACACGGCAGAGTTTGTACACTTTGAATTAATTGTCAATATTTTTCCGATATTGTATTTCTACAGTGAATCCAACGGAGACAAATGAAAATCTACTATCCAATTTTCACAATTCTAATATCTTGTTCTTTATAAAATAAAATTATTTCAAATTCTCCAGAGAGTGCGTAAAAAAGACGCCGGAAAGGGGCGATTTTCCCCGAAATTCATAATCTTAATTATAATAATAGGAATTGAATTTTAACTTTTGGAAAACTCGCATAATCTTTGAATTGTTTGAACAGTGCTGAGAAAGACTATCTATGACGGTAAAGATGGATTCAGTAGGAAGAAAACTTAAAACTGTAGCTTGTGATAAGTTTAAAATAGCCTTTTGCTTATCATTAATGAATAAACTTGATCACAAAATCAAAAGAAAGTTAAGACTTAAGCAAATGTCTTGGTTAAACAGCAAAAGTCGCGTTTTATCGCGAAAGTTACGCGTTATATCGCGAAAGTTACGCGTTTATTCGCGAAAGTTTCGCGTGATTTCGCGAAAGTTACGCGTTTATTCGCGAAAGTTACGCGTGATATCGCGAAAGTTACGCGTTTATTCGCGAAAGTTTCGCGTTATAACGCGAAATTTTTATTTTTTTAACCTACTAAAATTAGCTCAATGGGCTTTCGTAAATAAGTAACCTTTATTTTTTTAAAAAAAATATTTAGTTCCAGGAGATGCGTACATTATTTGGTAGAAGCATATAAAAGTCCATTTGGGCAAACATCTTCCATATCTCTAACCGGAAAGGAGTAAGAAGTCAAGAAAAAAAATTTAAGTACTGGAACAATAATGATTCAAAATTAATTTTAACGTTAAGTTTAAAATATAATATTGAGTGTTATCTTGCTGGGCATGAAAATAACCGTCTTCCGAAAAATCATTTGTCTCAACAGAGTTAAGCTTACAACTGTTCTATGGATTAGTGGTGGGGTATTCATGGCCTTGATTCTTGGTCTTGCAATTTGCTGCACGAGAGGAAAGTGTCAGAAAAATACCCAGGAACGATCACCTTTATCAATACCACACTCTTACCCAGGTTTTTTTATTTATAAATTCTAAGATCTCCCAAAGAAATTTCAAGTTGTAAATTTTAATGATTCGTGATGATATTGTGACATGGTAAAGGATGCAACAGAGAAACATACAAATACTAAGTTAATATTACATTAACAAAGAAGTTATAAATAACAGAATTATAAGATTGAAATCTTTAGACAGTACATTGTTAATTTTTCTGCAGCATTCCCTGTCGCAGAGACACCACCACGACCGGAAGCACGCGTACGTCCTTTTAATAACCAAGGTAAAATTCAATACATCATTAATCATTCTCGATACAATTTGTTCCAAGAGTAAAAATATTTTTTTGTTTATTAAATACCTTTTCGCTCAGTCCTCATCACCATAGTTTAATTTTTATAGGCTCGGTATCTAGCAGGGAAGAGTCCCGACCACTCCTTTCTCCTAATAACAGCCCTACATCCTATTCAGCTGTTGAAAATCCATCTGGTATTATTTGAAAGTTGTTAAATGTCTTGAAAGTGAATTTACATTTCAAAGAACAATGGGAAAAGTTTACAGTGTAATCAAATACATGTAACAGAATTTTTTTTTTTATTTTGCTGAATGATTTTTTAACAAAAAAAGTTTTGGGTCAAAACTAACTTTTTTTCCTGAGGAAAAAATTTTAAAAATCACTGACCAAAACTACTAACGTCCGTCGTTTATTATACAGTTAAAGTATATAATTGAGGGAGTTAGCAAGATTCCATTTCCCCAAGGCCAGGACAATTTTCCGAGGCGCAGCCGAGGGAAACAGTCCGCTGTCGAGGGAAAACTTTAATCTTGCTAACTCCCTCAATGATATACTTTTTAACTGTTTTATTATACCGATACAAATAACGAATGACGGGGAATTAGCTTTCGGTGCGGGGACTAGCTCACTTGACTAACGTAAGGGAATCATTAGTCCAATAACATATTATACGAGGAGTGAACAAAAAGTTCGCGAACTATCTCTATATTTACAAAACCACGATTCAGATCAGAATTAAATTTGACACACATAGAGTCATAGACATGTTCTATAAATAGCATATGTAATGGAGCGTTTTGCCCCGTGTGTGTGACGTCCATATGTGAAAATGACGTCATAGGATAGCTCACTTGTGACAAAAAATGGTTGGTTCAGTCGTATTCGAGAAACGAAAGGCTGATAAGTTAAACGTATATCTTGGAAATCCCTTCGTAGAAGTTTATAATAATTTGTACACGGTCTATGAAGACAAAAGACTTGCCAGAAGTGTTGTCATTAATTGGATTGATGTTTAAGTGAAGGAAGGGATACAGTGTATGTTTAAAAATTATGATTGTTCTGTTGCCCAGTGAAAGCAAATTGGGAAAGAGACGTGTCCTTTGTTAAGCAATTTGCCCCTTCACGGTAACTGCGCTACTACACTTTTGCAGGGCAAATTAATAACATTTGGCGAAGTTTTTGTTGACAGATAATCAAATGACGTATATTAAACAATTACTTTTACATCATATTTCACCAAACTATATCATTTTGCCCTGCAAAAGAGCAGTACCGTGAAACGGTCTATTTGATATGAAAGATCGCCAACTTACAGTTAGAAAAATAGATGAATATCTTTACAATAATATAATTATCAAATGAGTAAAATATCGTTTACCTTAGACTTTAAACATATCAGATATGATAAAGAAAAGGCACCCATACTTTATCCACATGAAACAAACGGCGCTCAAAAGACAGAGGAATTGGGTTTTGATGGTCACCATCCTCATTCTGCAAAAGGATATCATTATCCAGTGATATCCACCCATACTATTGTCGAGATTAGGCCATTTCTGACAAATGGACTGTTTTTGTGGAAAAAAATAACTTGCATGGTAAGAAATATAAGAGTCGGAAAAAATTTTAAGCTTCTGTGACAGAACGATAAGGAGCATGTCACGTGACCGCCTACTAGTATATCACGTGGTCCGCGCATGGTCAGAATGGTTGCAGATGCGCATTAAAATCGGAGAGGACTTGAAACATTTTCAACACTGACACCCTGTATCATTTATTTTTTTGGAAGTAATTCAATTAGTTCGCGAACTTTTTGATCACCCCTCGTACTGATACAAAAGTAAAATCTAGAGGATTAAGGATAACCGGGAATTAGCTTCCGAAGCGGAGATTAGCTTATTTGACTAACGCGTGGGGATTAGTCCATTCACAGTGATTTCTAGGGAATTATTCACATTTTACTATCTAATGTTTATATAAGGAAAAATCAGCAGAGGTATAATCATAGTGTTACAAGTAACGCAATTTGAAACTCCAGTACTCAGTGTGACGTTTGAGTAATTGAATCAGCTGATTCTTGAAAAAAAAATTATGAAAGAATCAGCTAAATTCTCAGACCAATTGCCGAGTTCTCTAATAAATGATAATAATACAACTGCAGTCAAATGAATAATTCTTTTTTTTTTCTATTTTAAAAACAGGTAGATCAGACCATTTTGTAGAACGACTTGCAGGTCAGAATCACTCGCATCCAATCAACGTGCAAGGTACATGTATATCATCCAAATTGCAAGAGATTGATTGATTATATTCTGTTTAACGTCCCTCTCCAGAATATTTCCCTGATATGGAGACGTCACCATTGCCGGTGAAGGGCTGCAAATTTAGGCCTATACTCGGCACTTACGGCCTTTGAGCAGGGAGGGATCTTTATCGTGCCACACCTGCTGTGACACGGGGCCTCGGTTTATATGGTCTCATCCGAAGGACCGCCCCATTTAGTCGCCTTTTACGACAAGCAAGGGTGTACTGAGGACCTACTGTAGACGTACTTTTTTCCACGGGGCCATAATTCCGCGGAATCTCAATTTCTGTTTTTAAAATCCGCGGGTAGAAAATTACGCGGATTTTCTAGATTGTCACTATATGCCTAATATTTATATTAAGTACGCTTGGACAAATTTCCGCTGAAAGTTTGTGACCGCGTACATAGCGTAAATTAATACCACGCGGAAAACAGTACTTCTACAGTATTCTAACCCGGATCCCCACGGGTCCAAATTGCAAGAGAAAAAAAAAAGCAGACCTACTAACAGTGGTTTTTTCTGATTATTGAAAATTTCACCTTAAATTAAGATTCAGTAATCTAGTTATTGTAAACCAAATTTTATTCGCGTGAGAGAAATATACGCGAGTTTCGTTGCCTGCTTTAACTCGCGAATATTAATCATCACTAACTTCTTATCTGGTGTTATGAAAATGAAATCATATCAATATAAAACTAACGAATCACTAATAAAAGATGAAGCGAATATAGGTTGGTTTACAGTATTTGATGATTATAGAGTAAATATGAAACAAAAATTTGGAAAGAAATAAGGTTTTGTTTTTTATTTTCTGTGTGTTTTTACAGGTTACAACGAGTACTTACGAACGGCTCCAACGCTTGACCCTAATAGCATCACAGAAGACCGATCGCAATGGGAAGACCTTGAAGAAATTGGAGATCTTAATATTCCTGTCGATGACCAGTTTCAGACTGGATACAGTTCTCTCTCAAATGAACAGATAGATTATGCAACTTCAACATAAAACTAGAGGTACTGTGAGCAATGAGCTCACTAAATGATACCCCCCGCCTCCCATATGAATAAAATGGCAGTGTCCATGTTTTGCTCTGGAAAATCCAAAATATATGTCAGATCAAAAAGTAAAATAGGAGGTGCACAATGGCAATATGTAATAAAGATTCTGTGAAAGTTTCATTAAATTTCATCCAGTGGTATGAGAGGAGTTGTGGATAAGAAATGGGTACCCCAAAGCGTAACAGACGGACGGACGGACAGACGTACAGACGGACGGAATTAACGATTACTATATACCCTCCCGCTTTTCAAGCGGGGGGTATAATAATTATTCCTCCTATGCACTATTTTTGGAGGGGACATTTGGTAGGGAGGTATATGTAATACAATGTCATCGATGTATGTGTTTGTGAAATCATGTCTGGACCATTATTTCCGAAAGGAAAAACATTCCAAACTCGTAATTAAAAACTAGAGGTACTGTGAGCAATGAGCTCACTAAATGATACCCCCCGCCTCCCATATGTATAAAATGGCAGTGTCCATGTTTTGCTATGGAAAACCGAAAATATGTGTCGGATCGAAAAATAAAATAGGAGGTGCACAATGGCAATATGTAATAAAGATTCTGTGAAAGTTTCATCAAATTTCATTCAGTGGTATGGAAGGATAAGAGATGGGTACCCAAAAGCGTAACAGACGAACGGACGGACGGACGGAAATCCCGATTACTATATACCCTCCCACTTTTCAAGCGGGGGTATAAAAATACTTATGACTGAGGATGTGTCATGACTTTGACCCAAGGTTTAGACCTAAAACTTGAAAGGTCCACAAACTTCTAATGGAAAAATGGTGGAAGCCCATACTTCAAATTTTTATAACCCCCCCCCCCCCGCTTGAAAAGTGGGAGGGTATATAGTAATCGGGATTTACTTCCGTCCGTCCGTCTGTCTGTTCGTCCGTCCGTCTGTTACGCTTTAACTCTTATCCGCAACTCCTCCTATACTACTGAGTGAAATTTAATGAAACTTTCACAGAATCTTTATTACATATTGCCATTGTGCACCTCCTATTTTGCTTTCTTATTCGACCCGTATTTTAGGTTTCCCATAGCAAAACATGGACATTGCCATTATATGTTTACCTATGACGTCACATAATTATAGAAGCTTCTGGATAACATTTGATAGGACGAATTATTCCTCTGTACACATTAGCGTAAAACAATATGTAGCAACACATGGACTTTATGGGAGGCGGGGGGTATAATTTAGTGAGCTTACTGCTCACAGTACCTCTAGTTTTCTTTCTGAGGGTGTACTTCGAGTGAAATTCCTGTCTTGGCAAAACAATGTATTTTATAACAGAGAATCATTGGAAGCTCATATTTTTTTATGATATAAGGGCAAAGTCAAGCTTATGGACAGAAAATGTATTATTTTTGAATATTTTTAGCAATGACAAAAAGTTGATATTTTTAGGTTACACATATCTTATTGCTCATTTTGCTTTTTTTTCTATAGACAGTGTTGATGCAAAGATGCTAAAACACAATAAAAAGTTCCTATTCGCTAATATTAAAGTTATTATTTAACGAGAGATTTTTCTTAAGTTAAATTAATCAATTTTTTTGAAATCATAAGGTATCGTGTGTTCTGTATCTGTAAAATCAACTCATTGACTCGCATGTTTCGAAAAACGAGCCCCGTAGTTTTTAGCTCACCTGAGCCGAAGGCTCAAGTGAGCTTTTCTGATCACATTTTGTCCGTCGTCCGTCCGTCCGTCCGTCTGTCCGTCCGTCCGTCTGTCTGTCTGTCTGTAAACTTTTCGCATTTTCGACTTCTTCTCAAGAACCACTGGGCCAATTTTGACCAAACTTGGTACAAAGCATCCTTGGGTGAAGGGGAATTTAAATTGTTAAAATGAAGGGACATATCCCCTCGCAAGGGGAGATAATCAAGGAAAGACAAAAATAGGGTGGGGTCATTAAAAATCTTCTTCTCAAGAACCACTGGGCCAGTAAAGCTGAAACTTATGTGGAAGCATCCTGGTATAGTGTAGATTCAAAATTGTTCACATCATGACCCCCGGGGGAAGGGCGGGGCCACAATGGGGAATCAAAGTTTTATATAGAAATATATAGGAAAAATCTTTGAAAATCTTCTTCTCAAGAACCACTGGGCAAGAAAAGCTGAAACTTATGTGGAAGCATCCTGGTATAGTGTAGATTCTAAATTGTTCAAATCATGACCCCCGGGGGAAGGGCGGGGCCACAATTGGGTATCAAAGTTTTATATAGAAATATACAGGAAAAATCTTTGAAAATCTTCTTCTCAAGAACCACTGGGCAAGAAAAGCTGAAACTTATGTGGAAGCATCCTGGTATAGTGTAGATTCTAAATTGTTCAAATCATGACCCCCGGGGGAAGGGCGGGGCCACAATGGGGTATCAAAGTTTTACATAGAAATATACAGGAAAAGTCTTTGAAAATCTTCTTCTCAAGAACCACTGGGCCAGAAAAGCTGAAACTTATGTCGAAGCATCCTGGTATAATGTAGATTCTAAATTGTTCAAATCATGACCCCCGGGGGAAGGGCGGGGCCACAATGGGGAATCAAAGTTTAATATAGAAATATATAGAAAAAATCTTTGAAAATCTTCTTCTCAAGAACCACTGGGCCAGAAAAAGTGAAGCTTTTGTGGAAGCATTCTGGGGTAGTGTAAATTCTAAATTGTAGGAATCATGACCCCCGGGGGAAGGGCGGGGCCATTATAGGGAATCAAAGTTTTACATAGAAATATATAGGAAAAATTTTTGAAAATCTTCTTCTCAGGAACCACTGGGCAAAAAAAGCTGAAACATATGTGCCCATGGAAGGATCATGGGGTAGTATAGATTTCAAAATGTCTAAATTATGATCAGTGGGGTAGGGTGGGGATGCATTATGTATAACAAGGGGGAAATCCGGTAAAGAACAGAATGGTCAAAGCTTCTCAGGTGAGCGATGTGGCCCATGGGCCTCTTGTTCTATAAATTTTCACAATAGCCAACATGTCTTTCTTTTTAAAACACAAATATGTATATTTCAGCACTCGTGTGCAATTGGGATGTTCTGAAAATTGAATATAGATGTATTCCATATTTTAAACATAATTTAAAAAAAAAATATATGATAAATTAAGAAAAGTATTTCAATTTAATATCTAAATAGTGTTTAAAAGAGAAAACAAAGGGTTTTCAAAATTTATTTTGTAAATCTCTGATAAAAGATAATGTGAAAACGAATTCAGCCCTGCCCCTGAGCAAGGTTGACTTGTTCTTTTGCTTGTTTTCTGCCACACTTTTATTTAATCTTTTAACATAAGAAGCCAGTGTAGACTAGCTTGTCTATTTTGCCATGGCTAAACTTGTAGCTGCTCAAATATTAATAACATGAACGTCAAAAAGCGGTTCAACACAATTTTGTTTAAATGAGATGTACAAATGAATCCTAACGTCTGTTTTAAAATGCCATTCCAGAAATGTTTGACCAAAAGCCGGAATGAGGGTATTTTAAATTCGGATGAAGGAACATGAATGTTTGCGTATTGTTTACAGCGTAAATACTTCGTTCTTGTGTAGAATTGTAAATAGAACATTTCATTACAGGTCTGCAAACACTTGTGAACCATTCACAACACCATTTAAGATGTGCGGAAATTATTTGAAGTTGAAATGTTATTTTTGCTACTCGACATTTTTACTTTATGACGAACAGGTACACATGCAGTGTATTAAAACGGCAATTTTCAAAAGTGCAAGAATTTTTTGCAAAAGGCAAAAGTGTTAAAATTTAGGGATTGATTTCCTTGCGTTTATCATTCTCTATATTTTCATTTTTAAAAAATGAAAAGACTAAAAAAAAAAAAAAGAAACATTTTATTGCTTTAAAAAAAAGAAAGAACAAAAAAAAATGCCCACGCAAATTGAAAGATTCAAGTTTTTGATGAGGATAGCTATTTCACTTGGAGGTTGTTACCCCCCACCCTTTACCATTTCTTTATATATAAAAAATTAAATCACAAGATATACCCCCTAACCCTCCAAATAAGAATATACATAATAGTTATTTTGGAATAAAATGCAGGCAAATACCTGCGTTTGGTATCTTTTATCGTATCACGTAGAAAAGGAAAGTACAGGAAAAGTGAAAAATCTAAAATTATGATTTGTTATTTGGTTTTAAGGAAAAATTTCAAGTTTTTCAATTAGAGATACAATTACAAACCCCAAAAAAAAATATTTTTAGAAAAATTATGTATAAGTATGCATGTTTCACACATTTATACATTGTCTTTAATGTATCTAATGTGACATTTTGCTTTATGAATTGCCGACACGCCTTGCGCGGCCTCTAATGAATATTTCCTCCCCAAGACACCTAAATATTTCACGGCAGCTGCGCCTGTCTTTATTTTGTAATTAACTTGCAGCAATACCCTTTATTAATGGTTTCACTAAGTGTTGGCACGTGGGGAGGAAACCATTTTTGTCAGGTACAGCAGAAGAGGCATCAAGTGGCCACTACAGCAAGGACCCTGTATTTCCTCTGCTGCCTGACGATTGTACTCACGTTGTTAGAAAACATTACAAAGAGAACCTGTCGTTGCCGCTCTTGAAAATCAAACATCAAAGTGCTAAAACATATGTTTTCCCCCTGAGTATGTATCATTGCGGAATTCTGTAGTGAAACATCAATTATCACACAAGGCAAGTGTAGCTGTCAAACTATAGTTCCATTATGCTGCAGTATTTTTTTTCTTCAAAAAATTTTGCTTTTTTTTCAATCCAGAAAATTCAAGACAAAAGTATGTTGTTCTCAGCTGTTTTTAAACAAAATGTCCTTTCTATTCAATGTCTGAGTAGATTTCCTGAAATACATGTATATTTGTTTCCATATTGCATTCATTTTAAAAATGTAATTGAGTTTTACTTTCTAAAAAAATTGAATAATTAATTTTCTTAGTACACTTTGAAAATTGTGGAATTTTAAAACTGAAAAATACCAGTGCAGTCTGAAAATGATATTGAAAGAAAGATCTAATTATAATCAGGGGGTATAAATTTTAATTTAAAGCAATATGAGCTGCATTTTTGAAAATTTTATTTTGCTGTTAAGATGTGTAATTATGATAAATTTGTATGTAACTTAAACTTAATGACCAATTAGACTAAAATAAAGCAGAAGAAAGATCTCTATATATACAATCTGATATATAGAGTTTTATATAATTTTAGAAATGATTATGCCCGATATTCAACCCCGAGTAGTGGGGTATTTTTTTGTGGAGCGATTGTTTTTGGGTTTTGACGATTTTTTCATATTGTACACATGATGAATAAGTGTAATAAATATAATTTGTGAAAAAATGTCCAATAAGCCCCAGGGTTGAGTATCGGGGGAGGGGGGGGGGTGTTCCTGTCCACAAGTACCTGTGATCGAAACATGTACAACAGAAGTTTATTAACGTTATTTTATTCTGTCATTGAAATAGTTATTTACAATTTTTCAACAAAAAACTCTAACATTAAAGTTGCAGCTCATATTGCTTTAAAAATACGATTTTTTTCTCCCAAACCAAACAAATGTACGCGTTTTATAAAGAAAACATGTACACTATATAGCGACTGATGCACTATAAAGCGACTGATTAAACTGTGCATGCCATCTTACTCGTTTAATTTAACTTGCATCATGTATTTGATATTTTTCCCACCAAATCTAGTTTTCAAAATTGAAAAAATAACAAAAGAATCTATAAAATGACACAAGTATATTTTTAAAATGACACAAAAAGCCAGGATGCCGTATTTGAGGTAGAAATTTTTTTTTCTAGAAAACATCATTTTAGTATATTTTTTTTTATATTGCTATTAGATTTGTTATATTGGTTTCCGTCTCAAGAATGCTTTTCACTTATTTCTGATTTGGCTTTCAATTTGGTACAAGTGCCACAATATTCTACAAACTGCATTATTGATTCAAGTAAGAGAGAAAAATTCCTCAAAATATTATGGAAACCGAACTTTAGAACTAATCAGATACTCATCTCTGGTTGGCACCGTAAATGAAGTGAAAGGTGTTCCCCTAAATAAGTCCAGCATTATTGCTGATAACAAGTGCGAACTGGTAAGTATATCATTATAAAAATAAGTCATTTAGCGGAACCAGAAAGCTATTAGCCGGGAAGGCGATTTTTAATGGAAGCACAAACAATCCGGAATTGTTTTAGACCTGTTTCTAAGAGAAATCATTCAGGGTTGATTGACACGAACATTTGTTATGAAATGTACAACTTAACAGTAAATGAACACGGTGCATATCGCCCCCACTTCATTTTCTCATCAGCTACGATCCAGCTGTCCATTTACTAATTTTCTCATCAATTGCTATTCATTGCTGAGGAGAATCATGTGCTGCAATATTTCTTTATAAACTCATAAACAAAATGAAAGAGAAACAAGGAAACTTACGAAGTGTTTCCAAGTGTTTTATGCAACAAACGTACAAGTGCGTAATGAATTACATTTTTTTTTATGAAAGGAACACATGCAGTACAATTGAATGGAAGTCTTTCTTTATTTTCATTTTCTCTGGATCACACATTTTAGTGTTGAAAGAGAGAAATAATTTCAGTATTTGTATACGTTGAAAAAAAAACATGTACTTAAAAAAAACAAATAAAAACCATACAAATAAAACTACAGACGCCCCCCTCCCCCCCCCAAAAAGAGAAAAAACATGAAGGAAAAAAATCCCATCGAGAAAAGGACAAGATTTACTGTAAGGGATGAATCTAGTTTTTGAGGTGATCACAAAATTAATTTGATTTTTATTTTTATTTAATATAATTTTATTATATCCATTGATGGATAGAGGAGGGGGTTACAGCATTTTGTGCAGTAAAAAAAAAAAAAAAAAAAGAAGGCAAAAAGGAAGGAGCTCTTCAGTTGTGTAAGCATGAAATGATATTTTGAGATTTATCCCATCTTTTTGAGCATAACCAAGTGAGTCGAACAGTAAGAATTTCTGTAGAATACAAAGACAAGAAAATTAACATTTGAATTTTTAAAAAATAATTTTTATGCCTAATTCATCACTGATGCTTCTACAAATACCTACGTCTTGTATGCCAATCAAATATGCACGTCTCGCGCGTGTGGCTGTTCGAAATAATTAAACAGCACATATGGTTAATTTGTAAATAAGCAGAGAACGCATTCTTGGTGTTTTGTAAACAAGTGTAGCGGTATCGCTATCACTCTCGCGGCAGGAGCAGGCGAGATCTCGACGGGGCGGCCATCATTGCTATGACGCCTCTTTGTTTTGCTAGCGATATACTGTTGATTTCTGCAACTGGACCCGTCAGCTGATATGATAATACACACAGTAACAGCACCCGGTTACATTTTTACTTTTATGCATATATTATAAACATTTACATTTTTGCCCTTAGTCAAAGGGTTTCTCAAAGGTTCCGACAAATTCTCCGGTATTTAGCCTCACCGTTTGTATCTCGACGGATATTAGTACGTTCTACTTATGTTTGATTTTTTCGAATTCCTGATAATATACCATTAAACAAAGATCTAACACTTCCGCCATTTGTAAGAAAAACAGACAAGGAACAAGTTTGAAAAATATTTTTATATGAATCGCATTTAAACTTACCATATAACGCAACTTTTAAATAATATTTTCTTTTTAAAGGTAAATCACATTTTCATAAATCAGAAGAAATCAAACGAATTTTATTTGATGAACTAATGATGCGCTCGAACGAGAAAATATTTAAATGTATTTTAAAGTTCCTATATTGACTTTGAACAAGTGCGCGAAATGGTTTGGACAATTAAAGACGCACCGACTACCTAATAAGTAAACGTATGTAAGTGGCCATGGGGTAATATTGACTCGAAGGATAACACGGGGTGAAGTATGAAAGAAACAGGTTAATATATGAATTCTTAACAAGAAATACAGTTCATATCATTCTTCAACCACATTTGCCCATGGTAGAAAAATTATTTAATAAAAAATCGACAAGCTAATTAAAATCTAACTTTAATGGACTCTCTGCATTTATTCTTTTAAAATTTGGTAAATTTGAAACTGAAAAGAGGCAATAAATATAATATTTTTTTTCGGATTTAACAACATGAAAAACAATTCAACCGATTTTGTCGTAAGTAAAAAAATACATATACCGTAATACGTTTTGTATTTTAAAAAAAAAGCAGAAGAAAAAATATTTCCTTCTATCATTTTTATTCATTTAATTGTAACTTTTATGAAAATGTGATTTACTTGAGTTTTAACATGGTAAAATATCAAATAGTGACTTTAACACCCCAAAATAATTTTCACAGTAGGGAATATGTCAGTTTAACCATAAGAAATTGAAAATTATTTGCCTGAAATTTTCTTTCCCTGGCAGATGCTCCATGGGGATCTGGGGGGACATAGCCAAATTTTCTCGGTACCTTACACCGCTGGGAAGCGCAATGGGAGGGGAATGCATAATTAATCAGCGCGTATTCGAGCGGTGATTGGTTCTACTTCTGTGACGTCACTCTCTATTCTGGAGTTCGTTCATAAAGCAGGAATAATTTTTATCCCCATCCAAAACTTGTAAACAGGTCGAGAAACATGAAAGTTATTTTGTGAAATATCAAGGTAAGATTTTGATTTTACTCTCCTACTTTTTTTTGTATCCTCTACAATTAATTATGAGATTGTTTTTCAAAATTTTTCCATATAACCAAACTTGTGGTTGTTATTAAATGCAAATGAATAAAATGAATCTAATCTGAAAATGGTTTGAAAAAATAATTGTTGATTTATCAAAACCTCTCTTTGAGCATAGTTTTGATAATTTTTATGAGTGTAATTTCTTAACGAAAAAAAAGAAAAAAAAATGAAAAAGTTGTCCTAAAAATATAATTATTAAAAGAAATTCTTCAAAAAATATCTCTTTCATATTTGTATCTAAGCGGATAAATATCCTTTTTCATTTTTTTTCAAACAAAATTTAAACGATGTCTAAACTACATTGTAATTTAACAATACTCGGAAGTTTTTTTTCTCTTTCTCATACATATGTATTATACGTGTTATAAAAATATATTCGATTTCTTCTGTGTACCTTTAATTAGAACGTTAGTCATTGTAAATGATAATTTCTAATTTAACATGCATGTAAATTTCAAACATTTTTAAGCAGTTAAAACCGTGTTCTGTGACTATCTTATCATATATTCTTAATCTTAATTCATAAAAACAGATTAGTTTATAAGTTTTTGAAACTTGTTTCCGAATCCTTTTTGATTTTCTGTACCAATTGCCTGTATTTTCTGTTGGTCATTTTTTTTTTAAAAACAGATTTTTAGTTTATAAGTTTTTGAAACTTGTTTTCGAATCCATTTTGATTTTCAGCGTAAAAACATGAGATTTTTTCTTTTTTGAATTGTTGTTTCATTTTAAGAATTAAAAAAAAGCAAACGGACAACACACTATTTAATTTTTTTTGGTACAAATTATTTTTTAAAAAGCCCTTAAAATATACCTGTCATCTGCAGATCTAAAAAAAAAAAATTTGGAGGGACGATCAGAGCGCCCGGTTGTCAATATATGGAGGGGGATGCTGTGATTCTGCAGCTATATACAATTTAAATAGACATATTTTTAAAAATGTTTCTTTATTTTCAGAAAAAGAAATATTATTATTTACTTGTAACCTGTGAGATGGAGGACTCTGAACAGCAAGATTTATCATGTTCTCAAAAGGCGACGATAAAAACGGAACCTAAACCCCGGGATCCGATCCGAGATATCCTGGACAGTCTTTGCAATCAACCATCACATCCGGACAAAAACGGAGAAAGTTCTATGGCGCTAGTTACTTCAAATGTCGGTCTGGACACGAGCGCTTTCACACCAGTTATGAAGTTTCAAAGCCCTGTTCACCGACAGGATATGCTGAAATCCTACATACCACCATCGGACCCATTAAAAATGAATTTCACAGACTGGTATTCGCAACATCTTAGACAATCTGTGTATAATCAGAATTTTCATCAGAATTTTCGTCAGTACCCATATCTTCTGAATTCTGTGCATCAACCAAATAACCCTTTTATTGGGTATTTCAGTGACGTATCTTCCTGGCTCAGCAAAGGAACAGATCTTAATGCCTTCAGTCTTTGTAATTTAAACAAGTGCTCAACTCTGTCCATACCTACTTCACCGAGGTACCAGTGCGACCATTGCAAGAAAAGTTACTCAACTTTTGGTGGCCTGTCAAAACACAAGCAGTTCCATTGCACCACTCAAGTCAAAAAAGATTTCAGTTGTAAATTTTGCGGCAAGACTTATGGCTCTTTGGGGGCATTAAAAATGCACATTAGAACTCATACACTACCATGTAAATGTAAACTATGTGGCAAAGCGTTTTCACGACCCTGGCTATTACAAGGCCACATGCGCACGCATACGGGCGAAAAACCGTTTTCCTGTGCTCACTGTGGTCGAGCGTTTGCCGATAGATCGAACCTTCGAGCACACCTTCAGACTCATTCAGACGTCAAAAAGTACGGATGCAAGTCATGCAAGAAAACGTTTTCGCGCATGTCACTTTTGGCAAAGCATCGGGAAGGACGAGTTTGTCAACTTCCGGTTCAGTGAAAATAATGTTGGACCAAAGATAATTTTTATATACTTGATTTTATATAGGTTTACTTTTGAGTTGTTCATGTATACAAAAATGTATTAAAAGTTCCAATAAAAAATTCAAAATCTATACGATATTGTATACTTATTATATTTTCATTGACAGAAGCAGGCCATAGTGGTTCACAAATGTTATTTTCCCCCTTTTGTGTTGTCTTTTGGTTGTGAAACCAAATTAAGAGATCTTCTTCAAGTACATGTACATTATTTCTAAAGTAGTGAGTCTGTGTTTTTTTGTCACGAATGCAGGAATTTCAATCCGTTTTTGCAAGGGAAATGGTTCGGTAAAATGTTGTTGCATATAGAATACACAAAATTGGTCTTGCTGACATGGAAAGTGTGAAACTTTAAGCGTAATTTGCATTAATATTATGTGGGTTAGTATATTTATATATGTAGTATGTACTTACATTTTCAAGGAAAATAACCCAGGATCCTTGGAGAAAATCTGTTTGTATTACTATGATCTATAGAATTTAGAGTTACCTTTCTTATCAAAGATTTGGAAGATTCTGCACAATATAAACATACGCATTTTTTTTTAGTTCCGGTAATTTAAAGAAAATACATATTTTTTAGTTTTGTATAAATTTTATTTAAAATATCATATTGTAAGAAGCATAAAAATCGGTCTCACAAATGAAATAACATTAATATTAAGTACCATATCCAACTACAAAAATATTGATTTTTTTTTTCTCTGCGTGTCATTTTTTTTTTTTTTGACATTTCTTTGGTCTCCCTTTTGTACTTACGTCTTCTGCTTTTAAGTACCAGTACGGTATATTAGTGATATTTTTCTTATTCAGCAATTTTCTTGAATTTGACAATAATTATTCAAGATCAATTTAAATTAATACTAATCTAATAAAGTTGTTGCATGTATTTCACGTAAAAGCAGAGTACAATCTCCATTAGAATTTACCTCCAAATGCATTGGGTTTTTGAAAAATCCTATCTACTACCAAGCTTGATAAATTGAAAGCAAAAAGTGGTAAATGGTTGTCCAGAACAAAAAAAAAACTTATAAATTGTTATCTTATGTTAGTTTCAGACACAATATTCAAGAAAATGAAACAGATCTCTTTTTTATAATGCTGCAGGTATGATTTTTTTTTTATAATTAAAACGTTAATTTCACTTTATTTTTGGATTTTTCATATTGAAAACATTTTAAATGTGTAGTAGAAGATAAACTTGTGAAAAGATATGAATAAAAATATCTTTGGACCCGGGGTGTATATTCGGAATTGGGGGGGGGGGGGAGGGGTCCTCACCACAAGCACCTGTGGGGATGTACAGGTCATCTCCGACGACATGTCAGATGAGAAGTACTGAGCACTATCTACAGAAACGTAGCTGCAGAACTGTAGCTCTCCGAAAAAATATATTGACAGATCAGAGAGCTACAAGGCCACCCTTTCAAACAAGAGGCCCATGGGCCACATCGTTCAACTGATCACTGTGGCTAGCATAAAAGCAGAAATTAGTTTATTATTGAAAAGTTTCAAGGGGAGAGGGTATGATTTGCACAAACATGAATCTACACTACCTGAGAATGCTTCCATATAAATACATGTATGACCAATCATGGCTTTGCTTTTCTTGAGAATATTTTAAAAGAATTTTACTATATATTTCTATGTTAAACTTTGGTCGGTCATTGTGGCCCCGCCCAACCCCTGGGGTGAACATGAATTGCTTCCATATAAATAACAAACTAGAATTTAAACAATTTTCCTATAAACTATGTAAAACTAACTTAGAAGAAACTTGAATCTACACTACCTGGGGATGCTATATAAATATGACCAATCATGGCTTTGTTATTCTTGAGAAGAAGATTTTTAAAGAATTTTCCTATATATTTCTATGTAAAACTTTGGTCAGCCATTGTGGCCCCGCCCAACCTCCGGGGGTCATGATTTGAACAAATTTGAATCTACACTATCTGAGGATGATTCCACATGATTTTCATCTTTCCTGGTCCAGTAGTTCTTGAGAAGATTTTTTAAAAAATGCCATTAATTTTTCACTAATTCATAATTTCAACCCTTGGAAGTAGGCGTGGCCCTTCATTTGAACAAACTTAAATCCCCTTCACCTAAGGATACTTTGTGGCAAGTTTGATTGAAATTGGCCCAGTAGTTCTTGAGAAGAAGATGAAAATGTGAAAAGTTTACCGACAGACGGACAGACGTACGCCGGACAAAATGTGATCAGAAAAGCTCACTTGAGCTTTCAGCTCAGGTGAGCTAAAAAAACTGTATAATTATGTTTATTGCGCACAAAAAATTGCGCTTGCAATTAGTTCTTGATCAATTCTTCTAAATTTTTACCTAAATTGAAAAAAAAAACCCCTAGATTTCGAAAAATTCCTTACCTCTTTACATGTATCAAGTACCCTCATAGTTGACATATGCACGAAGCACGTTGGACCAAATTAACTTGTAAACCAAACTGGCAGTATAAATAGATGAAATTTTCGATGATCTTAATTTCAGAACCAAAGGGAGGGGGGGGGGGGCTATTAACAATTATAAGGAATTTTTTTGATGTGGAAACAGTAAAAGAATATGTAAGAAACAAATTAATATTTTGAGACGACAATATTAAGAACATGGAGAAATAAATCGAGAAACAGCGCATTTTTTTATGCGCAATAAATACATGTATACATTTTTTTTTTCAATAGGTGGAACTGTAGCTCTCCGGTCTGTCACTATATTTTTTCGGAGAGCTACAGTTCTGCAGCTAACAAAAATGAAGCATACTGCAAAGACTCCTTTTAGATAAATGTACCACAGAAGGGTCCTTTAAGGGGGGTGTACAAGCCATATTGGATCTAGTCTGGTGTAAAATAAGAAATACCAAGATTGCGCTTAATACTCTACCAAACTAGCCCAAAGTTACTCAAAGTGATATTGCACTCATTACCTACTCTTAGAGACTAAAATTAGTAAATAATTAAGTTTATTTTGTTTTAATTAGTAGAAAATTAATCATGTTAGAACTGCGCAACTACAGCATCCACGGGACGAAAAATGAATTGAAAATGATGTCAGTTCGGTTCATTGATAATATGGCTACAACCATTTGTTTCTCTTTTTTATTATCCTTATCCATCATTCTTGAAAATTTGATTTTTCATATGACCACCTGTTCCTTACCTCCGCCATTCCTCTGTCACACATAGTTCAAATAACATTGATTTTAGAATAAATGCGACCATAGTAACATCAAAACAAGAAATGACTAAATATTAATCTTTATGTTATATTACTTACTACTTTTATTTGTTGCATCGCATCGTCTGATTAAAGAAAAAAGCGATTTTAACCCCACTCCAGCAAATCGGGAAAACTGTTCTGTTTATCGCTCGAGTTTCCTCGTTCATATCATTCCACTGAGCACGTGGTTGGCATGTATTTATCTGCTGTGGATAGATGCATTTATTCCCATGATTATATTTTAAGTCACAATATAACATAATTCCCCAACTCCCCTTAATGTTCATATTATTTGAAACATTTTCCAACTATAATTCTCTTCTACTTTTTAAAGATTATTATGTACCTCCATATTAAGAAGAGGTCTGGAAAAAAAATCTGTGTTAAAAATAGACCACGTGCTGCTATCAATGTACTACTTTCATGGTTCTTTACACTCATTTTGAAAAAAATACCTTGTGTTAAAAATAAAAGATTTTCCAACAAATATTTTATGCACATTTTGCATATTTTTTTTTTTTAAGGCTCTAGCTGCTGAATTTTGTAGCTGCGCAGTTCTAAAGAGCACATCAAAAGAATTTTTCTAAAAAAAGTATAGATTATATATACAAAACATGCATTCAATTACTAGTATGCATATTTATTGTATCTTTATCATAAGTACTTGAAATATGATCAAAATATAATGTATCTTAGCCATCTGAAGAATTGTTTACATTTTGTTCTTATTGCACTAAAGGTGGCCGGACATTCCCCTTAACTCCGTCCATCCTATATTCACATTGTAAACAGGAAGATGACATCCGGTCATCAATGTTAATACATGCGAGGTTATATGTCCGACCTTCGACGGAAAGACCCGAGATGATGCGATTGGTGCCCCCCGCTCTCGATAATTACAGGAGCAGCAAAATAGCTAGAAAAAATTCACATCACCTTATAGTATTAATAAAGACATTAATTGGAAAAAAGATACGAGGAACAAAGGACCAGTTCAATTCTTCATTTAAAATTCATTTACAGATAAAGTCCGAAAATAAACACTACTTACATGTCTACGGTCATATTAGGTTGAAAGTACCGGTTTCCATCCAAACACCGAAGTTAAGTAACGTCGAGCCTGGTTAGTACTGGGATGGGAGACCGCTTGGGAATCTCAGGTGCTGTAGATGTTTTTTTTAATTTTCTCTGCAACAACCTACATTGCTTTCTATGTTGTTAGTGATATCAATTTATATGTAACAATTACAGTTTAGACGTGTTATAAACAAAAATGTTTTTTTTAATAGGGGACTTCCGGTTTGCTTTTCGTAGTGAGCACGAAGGAATTCGGCTCCGCATAAGTTGACCTTTTGTGTCAATTGTAAGTAGTGAGCTTTTGTCTTCTACGTTTTAGTGGGAGGCATCGTGTATAAATATTTATATTTTGTAAGTTTTTGACTTTGAACATTGTACTAGTAAATTGAACAGATAAAAGGTGTTCGAGATGCTTTCCACGTCAAGTGGCGGCCATCTTGGCGGATCAAATGAATCATTCAAGGACAGGAAGTATTGTCGAGAGAACACCGTTATCGTGAATGTGAGAGATAACTCAGATGTAAAACCTGATGCAATAATAGACTTCATACATGAAAATTGTGGTATTGGGTCCCTATACGCATGTGTGCCAAAGTCTGGTAATTTGTATGAGATAACTCTCGACGGAAAAGCACCAACACAATATCTTTTAGAAGGGATAAAGGTTGGGAATGAAGTTTTTCAGTGTTATGAAGTTGTTCAATCAACTATAAATGTAAGTTTTCTCCATCTACCAGCTTACATTGACGATAGTGAAATAGAACAAACACTGAATACAATGGGTGTTGAAATCCTATCGCCTGTGAATAGACAATTTTACCCAGGCACGACCATAGCGGATGGTACCAGGTATGTAAGAGTGAAACTCCCTCCTAATATGCCCTCCTTCCCTTCTACAGTGAAGTTCGGCAAGGATTATTACCGATGTATACACAACGGTCAAATAAAGGTGTGTTCGCTGTGTTGTGCTAGCGATCATTTATTTAGGGGATGTCCACAATTCACCTGTTTTAAATGTAAACAACAAGGTCACTACGCTCGAGTGTGTAAATCCAGTTTGTGTGATCAGTGTGGTGAATGGACTCACAAATGCCATTGTAGCTTGAGTGAACACAGTTACGACAATAATAGTGAAAATTCTGAGGTCGAGGACGAAGAAAACCTATCGAACACTGAAGCAGATGAGGTACACGAAAGGGAAGTGAACGTCGACGTTACGGAAAAGGATACCGAGATGATGAAAAAGAATGATACAGAATATATTCAAGACAAAGAAACAGAACATTCACGAGAAGTAAGTAGAACCATCGATCCAGAGAACTCGTCGGCAAAAGTAGAGGAAAATGCAGAAAGTGTTGAGCAAGAGGAAATGTGTACCGCGCAGGGCCTCAGCAAGTGCGTCCAACAAAAACAAGCGATTAACAATAACGATCACAAGTCTGATAGTGAATTATCGGAGGAAAAGCTTTCAGAGACAGACTCGGACACTGGAAATGAAGCCGTAATCACGGAAAAAAAGAAAAGAAAGAAGAAAGTAAAAAAGAAGGTTAAGGCAAAGAAAAATAAATAGAAATGATCATAATAAACTCTTTTCTCTCTTTCTTGACTATGGTCATTTTAACAACTTGGAACTGTAATGGATTGTGTGATGTTAATAAGATGAAAGTGATATTTGCTTTATATGAAGAAAGAAAATATGACATTATTGGTTTACAAGAAACGCATTGGAAAGATGATTTTATCGAAAAATATTAACATTTGTGGAATGGTATTTTACTATATAGCAATTTTGACACAGCATCAAAGGGTGTAGCATTTTTAATTAGAAATGAGGTAAAAGATAAAGTCCAATTAATGAAAGGTTTTGATGGTAGATCTTCAAAGTATCGATATCAAAGAATGAAAATCTCGATATAAACATGTTTCGTGCATATTGTCTTAGCAACAGTCAACATGTACAAGGTTTCTTAGATTATTCCATCTGCGGATTCATAAAATCTAACAGTGAGGTTTCATAGATTAAGTTACCAGAGTTTTTTCATCAGTAATTTGCGAAATCCAACAGTGAAGTTCCTGTAGAAATACAACTTCTCACTACCGAGTAGCCTACTGAGTATCCTTTTCCAATAAAATTGAGTATATCGCGCCTTTTACACTGGCATGGTGCTAGGAGACGAGATATAATAAAATTCCTCGATGCAAATACCAAGAATCCCCTATACATCTCTCCTTACATTAAAGGCGTTGCATTAATTGGATTGGAACAGGATTTGTGTGGATAATTTACAGTGTCTTACATGTAAGATTAATCTGGATTTTCTCACATTGTTCTAAAAGATGTGTCAGTCGAAAATGATACATTTTAACGACGTTCGATCCTGATATTTAAAGTCTTAAACTTTTTTTGCCAAGTATATTTTTAGTTACTACATACATAGCTTAATTAAAATTCAAATCAAAAAATGGCGGTCAGTACGCTTCTTATGGCGCTACAGTACATTTAATATGACCTTTTTGCACTGAAATTTGTGTCTTAATTAAAAATTATATTTTTGACGTTTTCTCTCCAATATATTTATAAGTATGATTAAAGCATGAAACAAAATGAACTCTAAGTTTGTTTAAAAAAAGACATTTAAAAATTGTGACTAAGAAAAAGTTTTAAATTGCTTCGCATAATCAATTATTTGACCTTTCTGCACTAATAAAAAGTGTTTTTTTTGGCATTGAAAATTTAATAAGCAAAAAAATTATTTTAAAAGTCTTAAAACTTTTTCTGATTTTAAGCAAATAGGCCAAATTTATCTTGAATACTTAGAAAAGAATATCAAAAACGGGGGTATATGATGTAAATTTTCAGATATTACTCAAAAAAATTTACGTTAAAATTGGCTCAATTTTTCCCCGGATTTTCAGAATACATTTACTATATTTGTCCCACTTTGTTGATAGAATTCAAAAGAAAAAATTTTTAATAGATATTTCAGAACCAGCATAACACATTTAACTGCAAAAAACAGCTTTTTGTGCAATAAGGATGGAAAAATAGGAATCCAAAATTAACAGTACTGTTATAGATCAAAATGGAAAAACTGATCATTTTCGTCTAAAAAACCTTCCGCCACAAAATATAGTCCCTATCTTAATTCTACTTGAATGGAATTTAATCGCTGTTTTTTCATTGAATATAGTTAAATTTGCACTGTTGAATTCAGATTTAATGTTAGAACGTAAAAATGATGCAGAAGTTTATAAAATAAAGGACCTGACCAAATTAGGCTCAAAATCTCAGGATCGAACGTCCTTAAAAACAGTTTATAGAGACAAAAGAGTCTCTATCGAAAACATCTTGACCATATTAGAATACAAAAAAGGAAAAAGGTGACCCGATCCAAGATTTTACAAAAAAGGAAAGGAGGGTTGATACCCCAAGTGCCTGTTTTTTCTTACTTTCATAACCTTTAATCAGTTGAATTGTTAAGGTTTTGCCAAAGGTCAAGATGTCCAAAAAAATTATTTTTACAATAGCTCCAAAACTATATACGTATAAAGTTAAAACTTTTACAGTCTATAAGTATATATCATTGATTAACAGATAGAAAGTATTACTTGAAAACAAATATTTAAAACAAAATAATTATTTTTTTCAGAAAAAATATCTCAAAAAAATTGCATGTTTAAAAAAATGCAGCTGCTTAACTTTGTACTTTCAGAGAAAACCATCATTACAGATATAATATATGTTTATCAAATACCAATGAAGGACAAGTTGGACGTGAATGGTCTCTGAAATGCTGTTATTAAAAGCTTGATATGTATAAAGACAAAACTCCTATAAAATCTGCCATTTGCAATGTACTTTCGGTTTCATATTTGAATTTTTGGACAAAATAAACAGAGAAAACAACTTTCCAGAGGCTATCGAAGTCCAACTTTCCCTTCCCTCCTTGATTATCACATATTAAATCTACATGTACAATGATGTCATTCTCTAAAACAGCTGTAAAAGTACGGAATTAATTAGGTGTAGTTAAATAATAATATATATCTTATTTAAAGAATTTTTCTCGATATATACTAGTGTCTCATTATATCGCGGTACTTAATCCTTTTGTATAAAAAGTGTTATTCCAATTTTTTATATATTTTTATGGACTAACTTTTTAGTGTCAAATTATTTGTTTTAAGTTATTGTCTATTTTTAAAACAGGAAGTTTTATTTACCTCCTAAATTGGAGATCAATCGCGGATATATTAATAATTTTTATTTTTGAATTTAAAATTTTAAACAAATATATAAGACCTAAAAGATGAACTATGGTATAATTTTTTGGTTATAAATTTAATGGTTAAAAATAATAAAAAATAATTTTTTTGTACTTATAGCAAAGGAAGAGAAAAGTACTTAAGCAGTTGGGAATTGGAAATTTACAACAGCACTAAATAGAAAAATGATCCTTGATTAAGTCTCTTTATGTTCTTAGTGTAGTCTACTTGCATGCCATATTATAATCAGACAAAAACTGTATTTGGAGTAGCATTTTAAGAGAATTTCAAAGAAATTTCTATTTTAAGTAACCAAGGCAATAATTCACACAAAACACACAGAACTTCACTTGTGTGCCAAGTCATTTTGAAATTGACAAAAACTGTAGGAGGAGTAGCAATTTTGAAAAAATTTCTCAGAAACACATAACCACGGCAACAGCGAAATCAAAAACCGATACACAGAATTATGTACCTTAGTGTAGCCTACTTGTTTACCAAGTTATTTTGAAAACAATCCAAAACTGTAGGAGGAGTAGCATTTTGAAAGAATTTCATAGAAATTTCTATTTTTAGTAACCAAGGCAACACCATCGAAATCAAAAACCGATACACAGAATTATGTATCTTAGTGTAGTCTACTTGTTAACCGAGTCATTTTAAAATCAGACCAAAACTGTAAGAGGAGTAGCATTTTGAAAGAATTTCACAGAAATTTCTACTTTTAGTAACCATGGCAACACCGTTCATGGAAATCAAAAACCGATACACAGAATTATGTATCTTAGTGTAGTCTACTTGTGTGCCAAGTTATACTGCAATCAGACCAAAACTGTAGGAGGAGTAGCATTTTGAAAGAATTTCGTAGAAATTTCTATTTTTAGTAACCACGGCAAAACCGTTCATGAAAATCAAAAACCGATAAACAGAATTATGTATCTTAGTGTAGTCTACTTGTGTGCCAAGTTATACTGAAAAAAAAACTGTAGGAGGAGTAGCATTTTGAAAGAATTTCGCAGAAATTTCTATTTTTAGTAACCATGGCAACACCGTTCATGGAAATCAAAAACCGATGCACTATTTAATGTATCTTAGTGTAATATACTTATGTGCCAAGTTATATTGAAATCAAACCAAAACTGTAGGAAGAGTTGCATTTTTGAAAGTATTTCACAGAATTTTCTATTTTTAGTAACCATGGCAACACCGTTCATCGAAATCAAAAACCGATATACAGAATTATGTATCTTAGTGTAGTCTACTTGTGCGCCAAGTTATATTGAAATCAGACCAAAACTGTAGGAGGAGTAGCATTTTGAAAATTTGTTTACAGACAGACAGACAGACAGACAGACGGACGGACGCCGGACGCATTACTATCGCATAAGCTCTTCTGGTCTCTGACCAGTAGAGCTAAAAACGTGACTGGAAATATGTAAAATTATGTTTTTTAAAATGTTTTTTTTTTTTTCAAACGGATGTTCCATACTTCTTAATCATCAAAAACGTAAACATTCAGACAACAAAAACATATTGTCCATCAGTAAAAAGAATAAAGGCTATGTATCCAAATTTTGCAACATACCGCGATACAACGAAACCCGCGATATAATGAGAATCGAGTATAAATATTTTTTTTAAATATTTGTTTAAAGTGAAACTTTTTTCTGTTGATCAATGATATATTTTTAAACTGTAAAAGTTTTCACTTTATTAACCGAATAGTTTTGGAGCTATTGTAAAAATAATTTTTTGACATGTGTTGACCTTTTGCAAAACCCTAAATACACTTTCAACTGCAAATTGATAATTTTCTATTAACTTTCACACAAAACACAACTTTATGTCCCTTAGTTGTAAGAACTGAAAACACATGAGCATACAAATATACCTTTATTATTTTTTTTACGATAATTTATCATATACACACAGTTTTATAAATTTACAAACATGAGGAACATAGGTAAATTTTGAAAAATATTAATATAAATATTACAGTATGCCGTAAAAAAATTAAGAATTTACAACGTGACATATTAAATAGTAATAAATATCCTTGGTAAACCCGTATGTAATGAATATTAACAAAATGACAAAAGGAATATTGGATAGGCTTTGCAACTTAAAAAACCCCCATCAACATACTAGTAATTCAACTGTGACAAAACAGTAACGACGGACCTTATTGGATGATAAACAGAATACATCACGTGAGCTGATGTCATATTTTTATGTTAATTACACAATTCAAATTCAATTTATTGACATCATCATGTTGGTATACAGTCAAATTGACAAATCAAATCACAGACAACAGGAAAATGAATATAAAAATATAATCATATAACGGCTACTTATATGCAATAGAAAAGATATTCATTACATATAGTTATATTTTCATGTTCAAAGCCGGAAAAATTACTTTTTGATTTCTAAAATGTCTTTAAACTACATATTTGAATTAAGTTAACTGAAGTTATTTGAAAACATAATTTGTCAAGAAGATCGAAATAAACACTGAAAAGCAGCTTGGTTCCTTGTTAAATATCACTGAAAGAGTTGATTGACCATATGTAAAGGATATAAGGAATAATGTAAATTTTGAAGTTATGAGTTAAAAAAACAAATATTTGGAATTGTCAAATTTAGGTGCACTCAGTACCGATTTCATAAAAATTAATTACATGATGCGCCATTCGGTAAAAAGGATGAAACTCGGTAACATTGCAAAACTTTATTTTAAACTACTAGTAAATGTCTTTTGTTCACCTGAAACCAATTTTGTTTTTGTAATTTTCAGATCAAAAATAACTGACAAATGCACAATAGTTCTTTTTCTCTTTAAATTTGCATTAACAGAAAGAGTAAGAGACCAACTCACTTTTAGATATTACCAACCTCTATAAATTCCTTTGCAATGCATTTAATGAAGAAAAGGAAGTGAACACTGAGACATATTTTCTGTATAGTATATTGTAGAACAATAAGATTATGTTTTCAACAATGTTTTCACTCAATAAAAACTTTCAAGAAAAACCAAATTTACAGTGTCATGGTAAATGCCTTTGTATTTTTGATTGGTCAAGCATGGAAGAATTTTAGAATAAATGTTACTAGTGACTTCTTGTCTGACACAAGAAAAAAAGGAAAAAAACAACAAAATCAACAGCTACTACAAATATTGCAATCGCAAATATAAAAGCAAAAATTTACAAATTTTTTCAATGGTTATTAAACGTAAACCACTGAAATTCAAATGAAGAATATGACGTCACAACTCGTACAAATTCTCGCATGACTTGTCTTTTTTACTGTGTTTTCTGAACAGTTTTGTTAGAATTCCTTTGGCAATTCGAAAGGAACCCCTTCGGTGTTCCTTGTGGTTTTTGTGCGCCTCATGCTCCTCAACTGCTTCCGGGTCATGCTTCAGCCGGATCTGACTAAGCACACCGACCAGAAGTTCATCCACGTGATGATTTAGGGCCGCTGATGTCTCAGCATATTTGCTGTCATACTGGTGTGCGGCCGCTCGAGCTTCTGAAATTACAACAAAATATATAAAATGTGTAAATGTGTTTCCTGAAATCTATGTTATATCCCGTGATTGCAAAATAATAGCAAAAATAGTATACAGTTAAATATATCATTATAGAAGTTAGCAAGATTCCAGTTCCCCATGGCAAAGGCTTAACCCGGGCCAAGACACAGCAAAAAGAAATATCCTGGTCGAGGGGATCGAATTGGAATCTTGAGAACTCTCTCAATGATGGTCCCCGTAAACTTCACAATTCAAATTTCTGAAACGAATTACATTTTTAGAATTTTATAGTTTTAGTGATTCTAGTATTAATTTCTTGAGTATAATTCCCATTTAACGATCTAAGTTTTATGTAGAGAAAATCTGAATGATAAACTCTTAATAAATATTTTATTACATTAGAAAAATTTGTAAATAATATAATTTTAGAGAAAAATAAATATCTCTATGAAACAAAATATTGCAGAGTTGAGATATATTTATCTAAGTTCTCAGCAAAGCCACGATTGATGTATTCTCACAAGCAAGAAAATGCGAAAGTATCTACATAAGGCATCAAGTTAAAAGGTCAATGTCTATTGGCATGCAAGAAAGATCATAGCTGCCCCGGAAAAAATATGTAACTGTCCAAGACGTGTTGTGCAGAAGAAATTGAAATGCAATGTTGCCATCTGCTTATACTTTATCTGCTAAGTTTCTTATCATCATTTATATAAATCTGGAACTCTGCAGATTTTGCAAAAGGATAGATATTTTTTCTCATAGGATCCTTTTGCTTTTATTGAATATTTCAAGAAAAACCTACAGAAAACATACCCTCTGAAGAAATGACCCTTTTTCTAACAATATCAATTTTGTTGGCGACCAAAATAACGGCCTTCGTGGAACAGAGCTCATGTCGTATCTGAAACAGGGTCTCGACCGCCATCTCAAACGTTGACCGGTCGTTGACGGAGAAAACAACGAGGTAGGCATCAACTTCATGTTCGTTCACATCCTCCTGTGAATAGCATTAATAGGGTTGATATCAATGGAATGCATAATTGCAGAGGTCATTAATATGGAATTCTACGGCATTGGTAAAAATGAAATATGGAGATAACGAAAATTATTCAAGCTCAAAGGCTTTAACAATACTCATCGGGAGCAGAGCGAACGTGGACCTCCATGCACATCAAGTGGGATCAGTAGCTGCAGAACTGTAGCTCTCCGAAAAAAATATATTTTGACAGACCGGAGAGCTACAGTACCACCCATTGAAAAACTGTATATTTATTGCGCACATAAAAGTGCGCTATTTCTCGATTTGTTTCTCCATGTTTTTAAAACTGTCATCTCAAAATATTACTAACCGTGTGTTCCTAACATATTCTTTCACTATTTCCACAACAAACATTCCTTATAATTGTTGTTAATTAATAGCCCTCCTGGCCCTGAAATTGAGATCATTGAAAATTTTATCTATTCATACTGCCATTTTGGTCTGCAAGATAATTCGGTCCAACACGCTTCATATAGATGTCAACTACGAAAGTACTTGAAAGAGGAGAAAGGAATATTTTTGAAATCTAGCTTATTTTGCAATATTGAGTAAGAATTGGAAAAATCAAGCCAGAATCAAGCGCACTTTTTGTGCGCAATAAATACAATTTTTTAGCTCACCTGAGCCGAAGGCTCAAGTGAGCTTTTCTGATCATATTTTGTCCGTCGTCCGTCCGTCTGTCTGTCCGTCCGTCTGTAAACTTTTCACATTTTCGATTTCTTCTCAAGAACCACTGAGCCAATTTTGACCACACTTGGTAAAAAGCATCCTTGGGTAAAGGGAAATTTAGATTGTTAAAATGAAGGGCCAAGTCCCCTCACAAGGGGAGATAATCTAGAAAAGGCAAAAATAGGGTGGGGTCATTAAAAAATCTTCTTCTCAAGAACTTCTCAAGAACCATAGGGCCAGAAAAGCTGAAACTTATGTGGAAGCATCCTGAGGTAGTGTAGATTCTAAATTGTTCAAATCATGACCCCCGGGGGTAGGGTGGGGCCACAATGGGGAATTAAAGTTTTATTTAGAAATATTTAGGAAAAATCTTTAAAAATCTTCTTCTCAAGAACCACTGGAATAGAAAAGCTGAAACGTATGTATGTGGAAGCATTCTTGGGTAGAGTAGATTCTAAATTTTTCAAATCATGACCCCCGGGGGTATGGCGGGGCCACAATGGGGAATCAAAGTTTTACATAGAAATATTTAGGAAAAATCTTTAAAAATCTTCTTCTCAAGAACCACTAGGCCAGAAAAGCTGAAACCTATGTGGAAGTATTCTGGGATAGTGTAGACTCTAAATTGTTCAAATCATGACCCCCCGGGGTAGGGCGGGGCCACAATGGGAAATCAAGGTTTTACATAGAAATATATAGGAAAAATCTTTATAAAAACCTTCTTCTCAAGAACCACTGGGCCACAAAAGCTGAAACTTATGTGGAAGCTTCCTTGGGTAGTGTAGACTCTAAATTTTTCAAATCATGACCCTCGGGGGTAGGGCAGGGCCACAATGGGAAATCAAGTTTTACATAGAAATATAAAGGAAAAATCTTTAAAAATCTTCTTCTCAAGAACCACTGGGCCAGAAAGGCTTTAACTTATGTAGAAGCATTCTGGGGTAGTGTAGATTCTAAATTGTTCAAATCATGACCCCCGGGGGTAAGGCGGGGCCACAATGGGAAATCTAATTTTTACATAGAAATATATAAGAAAAACATAAAAAATCTTCTTCTCAAGAACCACTTTGCCAGAATAGCTGAAACTTATGTGGAGGCATCCTGGGTTAGTGTTGGTTTTAAATTCTTCAAACCATGACCCCGGGGTTTGGGGGATGGGGATGGGGGTGGGGGGCACAATAAGGTCTCAAAGTTTTTCATAGAAATATATAGAAAAAATCTTCTCCTCAAGACCCACTGGGCCAGAAAAGCTGAAACTTATGTGGAAGCTTCCTGGGATAGTGTAGATTTCAAATTGTTCAAATCATGACCCCTGGGGGTAAGGTGGGGTCACAATATGTATTACAAGGGGGAAATCTAGGAAAGAACAGCATGGGCAAGGCTTCTCAGGTGAGCGATGTGGCCCATGGGCCTCTTGTTTTTCAATTGGTGGCACTTTAGCTCTCCGGTCTGTCGATAGATTTTTTTCCGGAGAACTTTATTTCAAAATTTCAAAATTTTGTGCTTTTTTGACATATTATAATAATTGTATATTAAGTTTGGATATACACATCTGCTAATTGTTCTGAATAATTTCGAGAAAAGAGGCATAGTAGTGTAATAAAATAATTTAGGACTTGTAATGGAGGTATATGACAACGAAGAATCTTGATATTAAAAATGAAACATCTTGATTTGTTCCCAGAGTAATTGCTTCAATAAATCAATTGCAGAAAAAAACCTATCAGTGAGTTTATATGCATAGAACACAGAAACTCTACAACAAATCCACAATAATTCACTTCCGTAATTTGCTAGTTGTATGCTGACTAACCGATAATTGGTCTCTTATATTATTAGTTGTCCATCCCGTTTTTCTCCTCAATTTAGTCTTATTACATGTATACATACATTTGATTTATCTGATACATTTACGTGAAAAAGTGGAGTAGAAAATCAGTGCTGCAATTTGCTCATAAATTTTCTCATGTTTGCACTGGAAACTGAGTGTGTAATCAAATTTACAATAGATTAAGTAAGTTGATCGTTCGTCATTTAATTGGCAAATAGATAAAAACACAAATACACTAAAAGCTTGCAAAAAATGACAAAGAATTTGCAAAAGCAGAAATGAGAGAAACAGCAAAATATGTCTTGTGTTAATGTGAGAAAGAATTCCACATAAAAATCACGTGATTTTCAACGTGTTCGTTTGAATCTGAAATGTACTTGTAAAATATTCTGGTGTGTGGCCTAATGCCCTTTCCATTCTCTTGAAAAACATTTGAAAATGCAATAAAGATTTTAGTTTTGTTTGTAGTTTTAGTTTTTCTGAGAATTACATCCTCTGGGATTCATACACACACATTTAAAAACTTCCGTATTAGTTTATCAATTGTTACAGCGCTTTCGAGCACTTTTTGTCTGCATGCAACCTACATGTATAGACCATTATTAACGTTTTCTATTGCGATGGTTTTAACGTGAAGGATTTTGAAACATTATCGATACGTGTAAATTGTTGTTGTGTAAATGTTTTGTTTCATAATATAGTTGAAAAAAAAATCCAATAAATTATCTCAACATTTTAACGATAAACGAGAAAGCTATTTTTAATGTAAAGCGTGAGAAAAAAAATCAAATAAATTAATATCTCAACATTTTAACGATAAACGAGAAAGCTATTTTTAATGTAAAGCGTGAGATAAACTCTTTTTCCTCCAAAATAATAAGAAAAACAAATCAAGGCACCTTTATATAAGTAAACTGAATATAAGTAATACTGTATAAGTCAAGTTTTACATAATGTCTTAGCTTAAAAGAATAATTCGATTTACAATATAATGGCGTAGAGGTATGACTCTGAACTTTATACAATGTTGCATTTTTTTAATATTTAAGAAATGAGATATTTTGCGTCATTAGAAATCAAAATATTTCCAATTCATTCCAATAGGTGCATTATATTTATTTGTTTGTATCATATCTTTCGCTAAAAAGGTACACATGACACGAGTTGTAAATTTTCGCAGTGGTTGCTTGTCAGCTTGCTAGGTTGTGAATTTTTGCAGTGGTTGCCCACTTGCCCAGCGGGTAGAAAGTCGTTAGACAAAATGCACTAGGTATCATATTTTTTCTATATTGCAAATCATCAGTAATTTTATGATTTCCCACAAGGACAAGGCCATTTTTCATTAAAAAAAAATATTTTTGCGTCTAGTAAATTCCATACAGACCCTAATATAACACACAACAGTTCTGGTACATCTAGAATCACTTACAAACTTAACAAACATGTAACAAATTAACGGTACAACCACTGAGATTTCGAAAACGAAAATAGTGGAAACTGAGTCCAGCTGTTCCTGTCAATTTAACTCTTACCTGAAAAATTCAAATCAGATTACCAGTAAATTAACACCTTCCCTTGAAAGATACATGTATACAATCAAATTGCCTGTAATTTAAAATTTTCCTTGACAAGACCTTTCAACAATGTTAAGTCGAATTGTCTGAAAAGATCTATAATGTGATTGCCTGTAAAATAACCTCTTCCCAGAATTTCCTGTAAATTTACCTCTTCTCTTGAAAGATCTATAAATCAAATGGCCTGTAAATTTACCCTTTCCTTTGAAAGATATATAATCGAATTACCTGAAAATTAACTTCTACTCAGGAAGGATCTAAAAATAGGATTTCCTGTAAATTAAACTCCTCTGAAATTGAATTGCCTGTAAATTTATTATCAATTACAGTTAAGTGTGCAGTTTTTCATTACGTCACGATCTTTTTCGACAGATGCATCTAGCGTAAACAATTTACGCCCCCTCTGTGGAATTGGTCAACTCATATTATCAACATTGACACGGAGATAGTCAGCTGCATGAGCAACCAATCAGGGATTAGAAGAAAAGCTTGCGGTTAGGAGGTGTGTACTATTTACCTTGAGCGCAGCCGTCATCATAAGTTGTGACGTAATACAAAACTGCACACTTAACTGAAATTGATAATACCTCTTCCCTGGATGGATCTATAAATCGGATAGTGGACTCTTCACCGTCTAGTTGTACCGTCACTGTTTTGTCACCCCCTAGAAAAAAGAAATATTTCTCTTTATTCTCTAAATAATTCTACTTTTTCAAAATTACAGACGAGAGTAGCGGAATGTGTTGTCGCTGGTGGCCATATACTATACTATGATTCATTATTCACCAGTATTCATTTTTGAAGGAACAACGTATTCTACATGTTTAATTAAAGAAATGTGTTTAATTTTTTTTTACCAAGCATTGTAAGACTGAAGGTCTGTAACATTTTCTTTGTTGATTAGCAACGTCCAATTGTTTTCTTGTATTTCACCAATTATTCTCTCATTGAAAGAAAACTGTACTTTTCTTTCATAATCATATAATCTTTTCATGGCAAACCCACATTATCTATACTATTTTGAAATCCTATATGCAGCCTCTTTGTTTTTCAAAGAAAATAACTGAGTAAAAAAGATAATAATGATCTTTAGGAATTGCATCATGACATTCACCAGCTTTGTATTCTCCTAAGCTCAGAGCTAATAATGGATGTCTTGCATGCAAAATGTCAAAACATCACGCAAGTTCAAAACTCTTAAAAATTGAATACTAATTAATTTGGCCACTGATTAGTTCAGAGGAAAAATATATTGATTAAGGTTCCAAACTGAAAAGTAATTATTTCGGCTAAAGTAGACCAAGTGCAACAAAAATAAGAATTCGTAATTAGAAATTGTGTAAGCTAATGGTTAAACATGGCTTTTCTAGTAATTAAATGTGTCACAGTTTTCTTGTCTGCGGGCAGATCGAAGACCAATCGATAATCCGACCAAGACACAGAGTGATTTTGTCGGAGATTAACGCAGTGGACAAGATGTACAACAAGAAGTGGATAATCATGAAGGATGTCCTTGAAAATCAAGGTCAATGTACCTCATCATATTGATGCATTGCCAGGATTATGTTTTGACTAATTGGCGTTTAAAATAAGGCTGTGCAGTATTAATGTTATCAAAAGACGTCGATTTTATTTATGACTGCATATACTGTAATTTATTATTCACACATTTGTAACCTTAATATCACTCCTCTCATGTCCTCTTTAGTTTTTTTTATTCTATTTGATATTTCTTTTTAATTTTAGAAATACATGTTATATTTTTAAATATATAATATAAGTAGATATTTAATTAAGTTAAGTATTCAATATTGAAATGATACTACTAATCCTTAAGTATAAAACACAATTAAGATTTGGGAATTTTCAGAGAACAATTTTTCCTAACTAGCCAAAATATCTCACCCCCCCCCCTTTCGCAATCAGAAACCACGCAAGTTTGCGTGACCTTTTCCTTCAAATGGAAAAACTCAAAAAGAAATGTATGTATTGTACGCTCTGCAATCCGTGTACCTTAAAAGTTCATCTTATCTTCTAGTCAATGTCGTTTCAAAGATTTTTGGTGCTTACAAAGAATGTCTATTAGAAAGATGCATGATTGTGCAAAAATGATGATTTATATACTGCATCTACGACATTCAGATTTGCCACTGCCATTCAGATTTTAAAAAATGTGACGAGATATCACAAATTTTATTTGGATGCCTTGTCGTTAGAGCGAGTGTCATATGAGAAAACTGTCCCGCATTCTGGCGCATGCACAGTCAATATTTCACTTCTCATCATCGCATTCGGTTTAAGCACAATTCACGCAATAATGATTAATAAGTAAAAAAAGTATAGTTTTTTTTCCAAAAAGCTTTGCAGTCTTTAGCAACAATTTTGAAACAGTAACTGAAGTACACCTATCACGCCGTAGTTTTCTTGAGCTTTTTTGACTTAGAATTATATCGTCTTTTTACAGATATTAAGCCTATCGAAAGAAAGCCTATGCAAAATACAAAATATAAAAAAACAAAAAATAATACTTTGCAGTAATAACCATGAGAAAGTGTATTGTTTAAAATTTCATTCATTGCTATCTTTCTCTGTTCGTTTTGTTGATTTTTTTTTTAAGATTGAAAATGATGAAAAATAGTGAAGTGGTACGAAAGTAATCACAACAGAAAATTTCCTCTCTTGCCTTGAACAGCATTTCAACTAATAAAAGAACTGGAAATTTTTACGTCAAGAAATTTCTACCATTCACAAAAGAGAGGAAGTTGGTAGTGACTAGTCCGAAGACTTTACAATACTGCAACTCTGTATACCGTCTCCGAGGGAGAAGACGATGGTAATTCACCATTGCTGATTTCAAAATGTCATAGCAAATTCTTTTTTGCATTTGTAGGAGGGATGAAGAAGACTTTGTTTCGCGGCTTAAGCGCCTAACTTATTATATATATATTTATTAAATAGAAATTATTTTCATGCGTCGTCCGCGTGGGGCAGTGGTAGAGCGGCTGCTAAAGAGTCGCGGAGTAAGGAGTTAATTCTTATGTCGAGGGTTCGAATCCCACCGAGGGACTTGGAGGCCGATCTTTCGGATGAGACAGTAAAAACCGAGTTCGCGTGTCGCAGTAGATGCTGGCACGAAAAAGATCCCTCACTGCTCGATGGCCCTCAACGTCTCAAGCCACGGCCCGGAGTCCGTATATAGTTCTCTCCTACTTGGATTGGAGAAGTGGAGAGGATCGTATATTTCGGCCGTGGTTTGCGACGATGGGTAGCTCTGAGTGTCGAATACAGGTAAAAATCTGCAGCTCTCCAGCCGGCAAGTGCTGGCGTCTTCGTATGAGTGAAAACTTCTTAAGAGGGACGTTAAACAACAAGCAAACAAACAAAAAGTTCTTTTCATGCCTTGCAACAATTGCATTTTCTAATGTAAGAATTCCATATTTTCATGTTAAAAGTCAATGTTTCCATTTCTTAGCCATCTTATTCAATTTGTTGCCATTAACTATGGCACATTTTTTTGCAACATTCTTTGATAATATTCTGTTCACTATTACATGTCAAGATATTGCATTCATATGATCCTTTAGAATGTAAAATAAGTAGTAACACTAAGGTTTGAAAAAGCGATCATGTTGAAAATTAAATGACTGCGCACTATCTTATAGGCATAGCAGCTAATGCACCTACAGCGGTAGTTATTCTTTAGCAACATGACAGTCAAAATCCAAAAGGGTTACCAATGAGCGCGGATGACGTTAAACACAGAATTATTTTACATAATATATATCTAAAGTAAAGATGCAAAAGTCAACTACACTGCTCTGGGAACGCTGTGGGACTGCTTTAGAAGTCCCAGAAAACAGTGGAACTGCTTTGTGTCAGGTTGGGTCTGGTTGGTAGTGTACCATTTCTTATTTCTATAGCGGAAATTCAACTGAAAACAAGATAGGCCTAATGCACTTACGAATCCCTAATTCTTTTGAGGACCAAGTATACATAGTTATGCATCGCAACGATTATATTTTTATTCAGTAGGTTTCTGCGTTATGAATTATAAATATTGTGGTGATACAACACTGTATTTCATGTACAGTGTAAAGAAACTGTGGCCTCAGCTGTCGGATAGGAAGCAAAGGCCAATCTCCTATTGATTTCGGGCCAATATCCCTTGCCAGATGTGACAATGGGGGCTTTTAGAAATGCTTAAGCTCATTATTTCTACTTTAAAAGAAATTTCAATCACGTAATCAGTGAAGAAAGACCCCTTTTAGAGGCGCAATTTATTTGGTGTTAATGGAAAGTTTTAAAGAGAATAACATTCGATCGATTAAGAGCAAAACAAAGTCATAGCCAGAGAGGGGTATGCTAGAAATCTAACGATAAATTTCTGGTAGGAGAGGGTATATAAAGTAGGTGTCTAAGTGCAGTCTGTGGGGATAATTTTATATTATACACTGTGGACTATATATTAAAGTGTAGATGCACGCTTCTAATTCCGCCTGATGGTTTATGGTTGATTGATGATAAACCTTGAGCTTAGAACCATTAACTGAGTGGATTAAGGACGAATTTAAACAACCTTATGTAGGATTTTATTTTTTAAAATATGTATTTTGGAGGCTATTAGTGCAGAGCCAAAATCCCGAAACACTTACATGTAGAATTATACTGGGAACAAATTGTAATTTGTATTGACTGATAGAATGAGTCACTCCGTATGCGTACATGTAAAATGTCATTCAAGTATTTTCATGATTATTCCAGTAAATTAATCTAATAACGCATATAAAAACGATTGTGGCAACACTAATCAAGGGGAAACAAAATAACAAACATCGCCAATTTCACACAAAACATATCGTTACGTTAATTTAGACCCCTCCCCCCGAAAAAAATTAGAAATGTTAATATTCTATAGACGGAATTTTGTTATGGAAGAAAGGTACTAGAAAAGTGCTTGACTTTTGTTTGATTTTTTTCCCCAAAAAACCTTATTATCTGATTTATCTGCAAGGGCATGTGACTTAATCGATTTCTGTTCAAGTCGTCAATCATAAAAGCAGAAATAGTCATTTTAAATTCATACCAATTGCTTTCATTAAGATGAGGTCCCGTTGCGTTTAGAAGCGTCAGCATGATCAATTAAGGCCACTAGCACTCACTAGTATATTATTTTTCCAGGAAGCAATTGAACTTTTATCATTTTTTGCTGTATAGGAAGTGTTTACATCACCGCATCTCACGATTTATGCTTATCCTTTCATGTTTCATGCACTTAAGTGGTGAAATGAAATAAAAAAGTAAAATGCCCCTCATCGTTTATCCTAGCATTCCATTCTATAATTACGAGATCATTTAGGACTTAAGTGAGGAATTCACAACAATAGACCAATGCAATGGCATATTATCTTTCTATTATTCCTCTCGTCTCCCCGTACAATCGATCATTCCCATCAAATGGTGTGTACAAGATAATATTGCTGCATATCATAAAACTCATTTCATTTCACTGGCTAGCAATTTATGATGATTTTATTACTAATGCACTTGACATTTTCAAACCTTAAAGCTTTTTTACATAAATAATAGAATTTCTAGATTATTTTGATAATCTTTATGCTTATAGTAAAAGAAAAAGCACAATTTCTTTACTCACCGTCGCCATCAGATGACGTTCCAATGTACTCTGACGTCATAAACTGTGTTGTCAGAAGAGTTTTTCCAACACCAGCGGGCCCTAACACAACAACAGTAAAAGGCACATTCTCTGTCTCTTCATCTCGCACAACACACTCTAAATCTGAGCTGGAGACATGGCGAACTTCAGTGTCTGACGAAGAAAAACTGTCCGAAACATGCAAGTGGTCTTTATGTCTATTGCGTTTGACGCTGTCACCACGATTCACAATACCACCTTTAGATGTTGTCTTAAAAGACCGTACCCTGCAAAGTGCTCCTTTAGATTCCTCCTCGTCTCCGTCCGTCGTGATATTGTTAGGAGAAGGTCCACGGTGTGTATGATGGTGTGATGGCATGCTATTCCTCCGGGGGCGGAATTCATGTTCCTCGTGTTCCTTTGGCCGGGGGCGACCCTTGAAGGACCTCGATCTCGTGTGGTGTCCGTGATCCTCCGCTACATTCGGTGACAGAAAGCGGTCACTATGATCCATTGTCAAGTTCCTCTTGCTGCACAGTTTTTAATCCATTTTCTTCCGTCTTACACAGTTATATTGCTTGGAGCAACTCTCGCTAATACCATGAGGTCCCTGGCATTTTCTTTTATATTTGCTTGATCTAATAAAGATATTGATCACTGTTCTGTTTTGTCACGTGAAAGCCTTTGTACCCAATCAATCAATTCAACCTTTTTACCATGACGCGACTGATGTGAAAGAAGCTGAAAATGAAAATTCAAAATACCTTTATTTGAGAATTATGTCCTGACGTTTTGACAAACAACAGAGCTGTATCAAATAACAGACATTTTTCGAATCGAAATAACATCGCTGGTATCGATTTGCAACTACCCAGGGTATATTTACCGAGTTCCTTTTGGCAGAAAAGCCACACCAGATAGTTTCTCGAACATTGATCTCCTCCGAAACCATTAATTTCATCTACGTTTTACACTATATTGTATATATTTATGGATTGAGGAGGCCTTACAAATTTACAATGCTCCAATAAAGAGAAAACTCACCATCATCAATTGTCGCTCTGGTAATGTTTCTGGAAGAGCCTGGAGACAAATAATCGTCCAGGACCGATTGTATTACAGTTATGGTGCTGATTAAATCGATAAACGTGTAGAGTGGACTCCTGGGACCAGTGTGGAACTCAGTATTGAAATGAACCCATTCCATCACAATATTGTTGTTAACCTAGATGTTAAGGACCTGTTTATGATTTCCGCGTGTATATCGGATTCAGAATGACAATTTTAACTAATACAACATATTGTTTGTGCGACACAGCTGCGCATAGGATAACATGTCAACACTTTTTGGCATATATTGAATGTCGTAAATATTGCATTGTTTAATTATTTATCCGTATACGAACGAAATACTCTCGCAAACATGATACTACG